TCTTGCAACGTCTCCAGCCAAGCACAGATGGGGTCACGGGGACCCCATCCTGGAAGTCGCACAACACCAACAACACCCAAACTCTTCGTGATCTCTTTCACGTCTTCCTGCCAAGTCATGTACTGTCCATCTCGCGATTTGCGCCATCCTGAAGGAGGCTCTTAGCCGTTTGACATAGAAAGCGAAATCATTCGCCAAAGTCACGAAGTGTAAGTCTTCCTAAACGAAAAAACTGGGATAAATTCTGATGAGCCAACTTTGTCAGCCTCAGAGTTGCCGTCCGTCAGAGCGTAATTTGGCACAACCAGATACTGTTCAACACGTCAAGATGCACTGGCCCTAAGTGAGGCCGAACAGCGCAACTCATTTGAATCCAATCTAGTAAGGCGCACTCAGACTGAGGTTAGCATCAAGATCATCAGATACGTGAAGAGTGAAGTGCAAGAAATGTAGTTTCATATTACGTATTTTGAAGTGCAGTATCAAAATGAATACGGTACGCGTATTTCGAAGTCGAAACGAACATTGGCCGAAAAGGATAACAAGCTGTTTTTTGCCCAATTTGAGCACAAAGCAAGGAGGTTGAGGGAAATAATGAAGAATCGGGCTTTTGAATGAGATAGGCACTTATTCTGGTTTGTTTTATCGGTCAGTAGTCCATATGGAAATTCTCTTTTGGGATTCTTTGTGAGGACACGAAAGTATGTCGCGACATGGGTGTCATGAATCACGAAGCACTTTATAGACAGGTAAATGTTGGCCATGCTAACTCAAGTAGATTACGAATACATGCAGATACAATGGAGTCGCTGTTTGTGGTTTTAATCCAACAACTGGCTGTTGAGCAGGTGACCTGTCCGTTGAGCTTGGTAACTGGCTTGCGAAAGTTCCGTTACAACGCGAGGCCATATCACCAATCCGTATTGACACAGTGGACGAAACACTGGCTACGCCTGGAAATCGGGTTACTGCTCGAATCACACATCCGATCCACTGACGTTCCGGCCGGTTAAATAAACCGCTGGACTGTCCTGCGGATATCCTATGTCTTATCTTTTAAAGGCAGTTGGCGCCATCCTGTGGGAGCTTATAGCTAACAGCGAAGCCTGTCAGCCACTCATTTACCCACCGGTTTCAAAGAATTTTTTTAGTCTTGATATCAGGTCTCATTGGAGGTTTCCTTGCAGCAACTCGAAGCTTCACAGTCTAGAACCATTTTGAGATAAAGCAGGAAAAGGTGGATCCAGGTGGGTGACAGCATGAGCTTATCAGTCTGTCCTGTCTGGGTTTGATACAGACACTGCCTGCGACCAAACCGGAAGGGAGTGTACGGGAGCGGAAACCACCTGGCCTCGTATTGTACTTCCAGTGATAATACAGACGTTGATTCATCGCCCGCTTGAATTACATCACCGTTGG